TGAACCCAGTGCCTCACACATGCTAGGCAAGTGCTCTACTACTGAGCCACAACTCCAGCCCTTATACCACATTTTCTTTATCCATTCATCTGTTTGGCACCTAGTTTGGCTCCATAGCTTGGCTATTGTGAATTGTGCTTCTCTAAACATTGATGTGGCTGCTGATTGTAAATTTTCTGGACATATATTGAGAAAGTGGAATAGCTGGGTTAAATGGTGGTTCCACTCCTAGTGTTTTGAGGAATCTTCATACTACTTTCCAGAGTGGTTGCACTAATTTGCAGTCCCACCAGCAATGTATGAATGTACCCCGCCTCCCATATCCTTACCAATATTTATTGTTACTTGTATTCTTGATAATTGCCATTCTAACTGAAGTGAGATGAAATCTCAGTGTGGTTTTAATTTGCATTTCTTTAATTGCTAGAGATGTTGAACATTTTTTCATATATTTCTTGACCATTTGTATTTATTCATTTATTTTGGTACCAGGGATTGAACTCAGGGGCATTTGACCACTGAGCCACATCCCCAGCCCTATTTTGTAATTTTTATTTAGAGGCAGGGTCTCACTGAGTTGCTTAGTGCCTTGCTGTTGCTGAGGCTGGCTTTGAACTCACAATCCTCCTGTCTCAACCTCCAGAGCTGCTGGGAATACAGGTGTATTCTTCTTCTTTTTTTAAAGTGTTTGTTTAGTTTCTTTGCCCATTTATTAATTGGGTTATTTGTTTTGTTTTTGTTTTATTTTTTTTGAGTTAAGTTTTTTGAGTTCTTAATATTCTTAATTAATAACCTGGATATTCATGTCCTGTCTGAGGAGCAAGTGGTAAAAATCTTCTCCCATTTTATAGGCTTTCTCTTCCTGCTTCTGATTGTTTCCTATCCTGTGGAGAAGCTTTTTAGTTTGATGCCAACCCATTTATTGATTTTTAATTTTACTTCTTGCACTTTAGGAGCCTTCTTAAGGAAGTCAGTTCCTGAGCCAATATGTTGGAGTGTTGGGCCTACATTTTCTTCTAGCATATACAGGATTTCTGGTCTAATTCCTAAGTCTCTGATCCACTTTGAGTTGAGTTTTGTGCAGGGTGAAAGATAGGGGTTAAATTTCATTCCACTACATATGAATTTACAGTTTTCCCAGAACCATTTGTTAAAAGGTCTGTCTTTTTTCCAATGTAGTTTTTGGCATCTTAATCTAGTATACCAGGTAACTATATTTATGTGGTTTTTGTCTCTGTCTTCTATTCATGCCTGTTTTGGTGCCAGTACCATGATGTTTTTGTTACTATCGATCTGTAGTATAATTTGAGGTCTAGTATTATGATACTTCCTGCTTTGCTCTTTTTTGCTAAGGATTGCTTTGGCCATTCTGGGTCTCTTATTTTTCCAAATAAGTTTCATAACTGCTTTTTCCTAATTCTGTGAAGAATGTTATTGGAATTTTGATGGGATTATTGTATTGAATCTGTATAGTGCTTTTTGTAATATGGCTATTTTGACAATTAAATCTTCCTATCTAAGAACATGGGAGGTCTTTATTTTTGCTTGTTTGCTGTTTTGTTTTGTACCAGGAGTGGTTAACCACTGAGCCACATCCCTAGCCCTTTTTATTTTTAAAAAAATTTTAGACAGGGTCTCACTGAGTTGCTTGGGGCCTCCATAAGTTTGTTGAAAAATAAACCCCACACCTGTAAGTTAAACAGTATAGTCTCTATTATCCTAAAAAATTTGATCAAAATAAAACATTCAAGGAACAGATTTTCAGTCACTAACTACAGAATGGAGAACGTATTCAACTCATTTTAGGAAGTTAGAATAGCAGTACATAACAGTACACATAAAAATCTGTCAATGACAGTAAGAAAAAAAATATTACAAACTCAAACATGATCACAGATACAAAAAACAAGACAAAATATTAGGAACAATTTAATAATTCTATTATTATTATTATTACTTTTACCCTCTTGGTATCAGGAATTGAATTCAGGGATGCTTTACCCCTGAGTCACATCCCCAGCCCTTTTTTTTAAAAAAAAAATTTGTTTTAATTAGTTATACATGACAGTAGAATGCACTTATATACTTTGATATATCATACATAGATGGGATATAATTTCTCATTTTTCTGATTATACATATTGTAGAATCACATTGGTCATACAGTCACATACATGCATACAGTAATAATGTCTGTTTTATTCTACTATCTTTCTTATCCCTACATCCCCTGCCTTCCCGTCCTTTCACTTCCCTCTACCCAATCTAAGGTAACTATCCCCATCCTTTTTTTTATTTTGAGACAGTTCTCACTAAATTGCTGAGGGTCTCACTAAGTTGCTGAGGCTGGCCATGAACTTGCAATCCTCCTGTCTCAGCCTTCTGAGTTACTGAGATTATAGGCATGCATCACCACCCCAGCTTGTTTCAAGATATTTTTCAATTTCTCTTTTGATTTCTTTATTGACACATTGGTCATTCAAGAGAATGTTGTTTAATTTCCATGTATTTGTACCAAATTAAAAAAATATTTTTAGTTGTAGATGGACACAATACCTTTATTTTTTTTTGTGGTGCTGAGGATTGATTCCAGTGCCTCCCATTTGCTAGGCAAGCACTCTACCACCAAGCCACAACCCCAGCCCCATATTTGTACCATTTTTCTAGTTTCTCTTGAAGTTGATTTCTAATGTTATTCCACTGTGGTCAGATAAGATACATGCAATTAATTAATTTCATTAATTTTTTGAAACTTGTCTTATAGCTAAATATATATATGTCCCAGAACACATTCCATGTGCTCTTTAGAAGAATATGAATACTGCCGCTATTTGATGAAATAGCTTTTTTTGTTCTAATTAGTTACGTATGACAATAGAATGCACTTTGACACATCGTACATAAATGGACTATAACTTCTCATTCATCTGGTTGTACATGATGTAGAGTTACATGGGTCATGTAATCATATATGCATGTATGAAATGTCTCGTAAGTTTTGTTAGGTCAATTTGATTTATAGAATAATTTAATTCTGATATTTCTGTGTTGATTTTTTGTCTTGATGATCTGTCCATTGATAAAGGTAGGGTGTTGAAGTCCCCAGCTATTATTGGATTTGTCTATGTCTACTTTTAGGTCTAACAGTATTTGCTTTATATAATTGGGTGCTCTAGTACTGGATGAATGTATATCATATATATGTGGTCTTTATTTTCCTTTTGTTGAATTGATCCTTCTATAATTATATACCTTCTTTATCTCGTTTTATAGATTTTTTACTTCAACATCTATTTTATCCTATATAAATATAACCACTCCTGCTCACCTGCTCACTTTTGGTTTCCATCTGCATGGTATAGCTTTTTCCTTCTCTTCACTTTTAGTCCATGTGTGTCTCCACTGGTAAAGTGAGTTTCTTGTAGGCAGCATGATGTTGGGTGCAGTTTTTAAAAATTTTTTCCTTAATCTATTTAGTTGATCTAGATATTTTAACCTGAATCTAATCCATTTACATTCAAGGTTGGGTTAACTGATAAGCAAAGACATAATCCTGTCATTCTTTTGATTTTCTCATGGTTGTTTTATATATTCTTTATTGTTAGTCAGCTATCCATTGCAGTGACAAATACCTGAGAAAAACAACTTTTTTTTGGTACCAGGGATTGAACTCAGGGGCACTCAAAACCACTGAGCCATATCCTCAACCCTATTTTGTATTTTATTTAGAGACAGGGTCACTCTGAGTTGTTTAGTGCCTCACTTTTGCCGAGGCTGGCTTTGAACTTGAAATCCTTCTGTCTCAGCCTTTCAAGCTGCTGAAGTAAAAGTGTTTTTTAAATGGGGCTGGGGGCACACAATTTGGCTGATAGCAGTGATTTTAGGCATCTATTCATGTGTTTATTGGGAACCCATGTATCCACTTTGGAAATATATCTATTTAAGTCCCTTGCCAATTGTTAAATAGGGTTCTTCATTTTTTGTTGTTGAGTTGTAGAAATTCTTTATATAATCTGTGTACAAGCCCATTACAGATATATGACTTGTAAATATTTTCTCCCATTCTGTGAGTTAGCATTTCATTTCCTGATGTTGTCCTTTAAAGCACAAAAGTTTTTAATTTTGATGAAACCCCATTTGTTTTTTTTTCTTTTATTTCTGTGCTTTGGTTGTTATATCTAAGAAAACATTGCCCACTTCAAATTCATTAAGATTCAACTCTGGTTTCGCCTTAGAGTTGCATTGTCTTACCTCTTAATAGCCAGGCACGATCCCTTTTGAGCTAATATTTGTATATGATGTGAGATATTTCTTTTCTTTTAATCCCCAGGAACATCCTAGTTTTGGAATGTTCTTTACTAGATTAACTACAAAACAAATTGGTAAGGGAGTTGTTGCTGTTGTTGTTTTGTTTTGTTGTTTGCTGTTTTTGGAGATCTTTAACAAAAATCACCAAATCACAGCAGATATAGGAAATCACACCTATTATATATCATGTAAAACATACCTCACTTATATTAAGCCCATTCAGTCTTTTTTATAAGCAGAGAAATTTAAACACAAGGTAAGTTAACAGAAATGGTTTACAACATCAGTTGAGATAACACTCACTGAATGATTATGAATAATATCTTGATTACAAATAAAAGCTTGGTCTCATCTTTTTAGCTAGGAATTGACTAAGACTTTATATCATTTTTTAGTTTGATTAATGAAAGAGTAACTAATTAGAGTGGAAAAGAGATTAGCAAATCATTCAAGATGTCAAGTGCAGTCAAAGTGTAATTTTGTCATCGATAATTTAGTAAGCTCAAAGCGACAGGTGTACATAATAAATAGGAACAGAGACTACCAAGTATTGAAGACTCTAGGTAATGTTCTTAAAATCAGCATTATTTGGTTAGATTGGATTTTATTTACCTGAATTGTCATATTGTTGAATGTGCCTTTGGCTTATTGACATCCTATGGTTTGGTGTACATTTCCTTTTTGCTTTGCAGGATATACAGAATCAAAAGTTAAAGACAAGTGTATGGTACCGTGAGGTAAATGATTGTTTCCTTCTATGCATGCTGGATTTCTGATCTGCATCTGCTTCAAAATGTAATTATTCTAAGGAATAGATATTATCTTTGCATTTATACTTCCTTAGATATGCAGCAGACATAAATTATTAGAATCCCTGCAAGATGAATGGCCATGGTTTCTTGAATGGCCGTGATTTCTTAAGTCCTTTTCCCTAACAGAGAGTACCAAGGGGCTGATAAATTGGATCATTAATTCAAATTTCTCGTCATTTCTTTAGTGGGGTGGATCTTGTCCCACTTTGATAAGTTCCCTTTTTGACTACTCCTAACAGGTTTGGGATGATGAGTTTTTATCCTGGAACTCCAGCATGTTTGATGAGATTAGAGAGATCTCTCTACCTCTCAGTGCCATCTGGGCCCCTGATATCATCATCAATGAGTTGTAAGTGTGCAGGGTTATACTTATGTGGGGTTTTAGACTGCTGACACTATTCATGCCAGTGGCTGTTTACTTTTAGTCATTGTTGCTATTTTTTATTTTTTAAGTGGAAGGGAGGCATATTGTTGGGAATTTGAAATGCCATGATTTGACATTTAAGATAATATTTGATTGCTGGTACTTCAGGTTACTTTTTGTTATTGTTGTTTTGGGAACCACGGGTTGAACCCAGGGGTTATTTGCCACTGAGCCATATCCCCAGCCCCTTTTATATTTTATATAGAGACAGGGTCTCATTGAGTTGCTTAGGGCCTCACTAAGGTGCCAAGGCTTCTTTGAACTTGCAGTCCTCCTGTCTCAGCCTCCTGAGCCAGGATTATAGGCGTGCGCCACCACACCTGGCTTTCAGATTACTTTTCATGTCCAGGTCCATGACACTAGGAAATGAGTTAACTTATGAGACTACAACTGCTAAGCCCATTTTTGCCTCAGTAAATCATCTCATAGGAAATGGGATTCTGCCTCTGCAGTGCTAGGCTAGTCCTATGTCTCATGGTCATTACCATCCTTTAGTCAGTTCTGTGTATGTTTTGAAATGACTAATGCCCTCTCTGTAACAAGTTCTCTTGTGTTTTATATAGTGTGGACATTGAAAGATCCCCTGACATTTCCTACGTTTACGTGACCTCATCTGGGAGCATTAAGAACTTTAAGCCCATCCAGGTGGTTTCTGCTTGCAGTTTACAGACATATGCTTTTCCTTTTGACATCCAGAATTGCAGCTTAACCTTCAATAGCATTCTGCACACAGGTAAACCATGAGAGAAATAGTCCATTAGTTGGAAAATCCAACTATGCTGGGTTAGAATACATAGGTGAAACTATAATTTCATGTCTTATGTCATTCTTGCATATAATATAATTGTCTATTTAAAAATCTAAATCTCTTTCCTATAGTTATGTGGCTCCTGCTATACTTCAGATCAGGTACAATGTTAGAGTCCACTGCTGCTGTTAAATTGTGATTACATTAGGACTCTACCACCACTGAGAATGTTATAGAAATTGCAGGACAAGCTCCACCATTTTGTAGAGAGTTGACTCCAAACCCTAAATTCATAGTTTTTTTTTAATGACTAGAAAGATTTTATTCCCCACTTCTACCACCTAATTCAAATAAGACCAATTAGACTTTGCATGTTGTGGCAGGAGAAAAGATTTGAATTGGGAGTGGAAAAGTGGGATGATGTTGGCACCTCTTTCTCTCCTGGGAAGTCAATTGTTTCTGTTCTTTTCAGTGGAAGATGTAGACCTGGGCTTCCTGAGGAACAGAGAAGACATTAAGCATGACAAAAAAACATTTTTGAATGACAGCGAGTGGGAAGTTCTTTCTGTGTCCTCAACATACAGCATCCTGCAGAGCAACACTGGAGATTTTGCACAGATTCAGTTTAATGTAGGTTCTTCTCCTTCCTGCCCCTGTTGCCCACTTCTCTGCAGTCCTTGGCCTTTTTTACTGGGCTGAGGAATCTTTACTCCCACTGCACATTCTCATTCATTATCACTCAGGAGCAGTTGGTTCAGATGGCTCCGAACATCTACTTGCATTTTGCTATGACAGGGGGCAGAGGTCCAGGGAGAGATATTGGGCTCATGCTGTAGAGATTCCATAAGGAAATGTAGAAAGAATGATATTCAGGCATCAGAGGCCTGAATCAACAACTACAGCAGGAGTCCTCAAACCTTTCAGCACATACTAACATTATCACTTCTAATTGCTACTGAAAACAACAACAAAACCCCCTACCCTGTCACTACAACAAATTGGGAAGACTGTCTCATCAATCTTATTGTCCTGTTTTTAACTGAGTAAATTATTCATTAATTCCAGATGCAGATGCATAAAATGATCATATTATTAACTTGAATATCTGAAGGAATTATCCAGCGGTCACCTGCAGGACCCACAGAAACCACTGGTGGCTTCTGGATCAGAGGGAACAACTGCCCCAAAGGACCCACATTCCTCTGATGTATCCCTGAGACTGCTCTTGGCTCCTTTATTCTGTCTGTGGGGGATTAGGGAGTGATGGATACAAGACAATGAAACCTACTGCTTTGTGCCCCAGAGGTAGCCCTTCTCTCTTCTCTGGTTTTCCTGGCAAACCATCCTGACATATGGTCAGCAGCCGGTTCACATAACCAGCAGACTCAGTGTTAATATGCTACAGTGTGCTCTGTTTTTCTGCACAAAGTTGGTTAGTAGGAGTGGTTTGGGGCTAGGGGCCTTCATGCCAAGAAATGGATCCAATAGAAAAATAGAGACTAACTGGCAAGTCAGGACTGCCACGAGATAAATTCTCCTAGAAATGCAGCTTTGGAATAGAAAGGTACATTTAGACTACACTAGGAACTATAGTTATGATGGATATGCTAAGGGTGGTGGTGGTAAGATAGGCTATAATTGAGGGCACAGATATTCCTTGTTTGGTTAAAAGGTGTTTCCTGCAGCATTCTGGCAAAACTAGTTAAACCAGGGCCTCTAAGATACCATTGGAGTTTGAACCTAAGTAATGTATAACACTGGCTAGCAGCTGATTGCAATCATGCCTTCCTATACTTCTTAGCAGTGGGGTGGGGTTTGGGTTCTTGCCTGGAATTTTGCTTGTTTTTTAGCAAAGCTTGTGCTGTGGTCTGCTTGTCCACTTTGTGTGTGTGAAAGAGAGAGAAAGGGAGGGGAAAAAAGAAGCCTTCTTCTTCTTCTTCTTCTTTTTTTTTTTTAATTTCAATGAGCTTCTTGGCTAAGAGTAAACACCTCATTAATTTTAAAGATATCAGCCTGCAAACATTATTAATGCAGCCCAAATAATGGAGAACATTAAAGGAAATGTGAGGGAGTAGCATGTACAAGGTGGAACATAGTCACCTACCAAGTGCTCCAGAGAAAGCTGCACACACCATTACCTACGCTGCACGGAGGAGACAAACAGGCAAGAGATGGGGCAGGTAACTCGATCAGAGTACACATATGCACATGCGCAGGCGTTCTCATCCCCCCCATCCCCTTCTCTTCACAAAGTGACTGCTTATACTTATGTGTCACCCTTCACCTTAAATATTAATTTGTTTTCTCAGCAGCAGCTGAAGTTTTCCTTCAAACTACCACCATTTCGAATGTGCTGAACAGAGATGGTAAAAGTTTGCGTCACCGTGTGTGACTGGGGTCTTCTCTGGGTCTCGAAACTGTGGTTCAGTTCCTTTGCTCCGTTCACGGCCACAGAGGCAGGCTGGAGGCAGGCAGGCAGGCATTTGATTTCCTGCCCTTGAACCTTTTCCCTGGTTCTTTGCCATGGAGGCTAAGGTGGGTATATAGCAGAACTGGCTTCCACCTGCTCCTCAGAAACAGAGTGGGGAAAGAATCCTGAGTAGTCACAGATCATATTAGCCAGACTCAGGAGTGATTCTGCAGCTCTGGTTATGACTTAACTTAGGCTCCACATCTATCAGTTTTCTGTCTCTCTCAACCTCTCTTGCCTCCATGCCTTCCATTCTTGCCATGTGTACCATGCCTGGATTCATAGTTATCTTTCTCTGTACCATATATCCCATTATGAATCCACCATCCAAGGCATCTGGATGTCCTTCAGCAACCATTGGCCAGTAGTTCCATGCCAATGTTAGGCCTGCCAAGGTCCTGACACAAAGGGCCATCTCTCTCTTAATCTAATCACCTGGTATCTCAGCCCAGGCTGCTCAGCAGGAGGTCAGGGACAGGTGGGGTGGGCAGAAAAAACAATCATCTATTCTAAATACATTATCATCCTAGGCTGATGTACACTGCTGCCATTTATACTAAATCACATTCTCCAGATGCCCCTTTAGTTCCAGCTAATGTACAATCATAGCTGCTGGCTCTGGGACACGTACGGTTTATCAGAGGGCACCACTGATATTTTGGAGTCGGGCTTCATTCCACAGGGGGCCCAGAGCAATGCACTTCTCCCTACAAGGAATCTGTGTGCAGCCTGGGACCTGATCCAGCGGCCTTGGGAGGGGAGATTTCTTCCAATACACGAATGGAGGGGCTGGTTCCCAGAAACAGCAGGGTAAGCATTTGATTTCTGTAAGGCAGCGATTTTTTTTTTTTAAAGAAATGAGAGTAGAGTGGGAGTAGGTAGGGATACAATTTAGAAATTCATGTTGGATGGAAAAGGTGGACAGCTGTGGGAACTAAACCAGCCCAACCACAGATACTCTCACACTGAGCAAAGTGTTCATTCAGGCAGGAATTGGGGTACCCTTAGAGCAGTCCTACAAAAATGAATTAGGGGTATCTGAGAAAAAAGTTAAAAAAATTTTTTTTTAGTTGTAGATGAACACAATGCCTTTATTTTATTTATTAGTTTTATATGGTGTTGAGGATTGAACTCAGTGCCTCTCATGTACTACGCAAGTGCTTTACTGCCGAGCCACAACCCTAGCACCCCCTAACCTCTTTTTCCATCATAATTTTCCTTTCTAGATTAGGGTAATTTTGTTGAGATGTCCATTGAATTCATACTGTAAACTTGATAGAAGATTCTTTTCAGCACCACGCGCGTACGCGCATGAGAGAGAGAGAGAGAGAGAGAGAGAGAGAGAGAGAGAATGAGAATTTAAAATCCTAGAAATTCTCAAGTAATGTGAGAATCATAGACTTCCTGTTAATATAGCCCAATCCACAGTCCAGATCCAAGAAGCTCTCAGTCTGGCACGAGGAACTTGCTTAAATGGCAGCAACTTTCCCATTTTTTTCTGAACTGGGAATGTTGGGAGGGGCCTCAGAAAGGAGGAAAATGGGCTTCTGTATGAAGCGTGAGTCTGGGCGTCAAAATTCCAACTATGTCATAAAGACGGTCATGCAAAATTGAGTACTGGTGGGGTCTACCATCAAGGAGGCAATTAGAGGCTAACCTTGGGGCCTATTCCATCTCCAAGGAGCTCTCCACACACACATTCTGAATTAGATTGATCTCTTTCATTAACATCAATAGGCTCCAAATACCTTTGTGTACTTATTATTACCTGGCTTTAATGGATAATGAAATTGTGGCATAATATTGCTAACACCTGAAGGGTGTCTAATGGAGAACACGGACTGAAACTAAAGTGCTTTTTCTTCCCTTTCTGTGGAATTTAAAGGCACCAGCTTCTTTAGTCCATTAGAAATGATTGGGTTTTAGGTAGGGGCAGTTTTGTAGAGAGCCTGGGACACACTGGCAGAGGCAGGGGTTACTATGAAGGCAGCCCTCAGAAAAACTGACCTCAATAGATTGGCCCCCATTTGAGCTAACTTCACACTCCTTTTGTAACTAAATGTAGCATTATTAAAAGACTCTAATACAATTCAACAAACATCTTTTTAGCTGTTAGCATGTGCCACCCTCAATGGTAAACACTTAAGACACCATGGTAAATAAAAAGGTTCTTTATATCTATCATAAACCTAAAAATCTGCACGGGAAGACATAAGAATAATCTCAAAATGGAACACTTCATGTCAGGCACCATTTTAAGAGTTGGTGCCAGGCATGGTAGCACACACCTGTAATCCCACTGGCTCAGGAGGCTGAGACAAGAGAGCCTGAGTCCAGCCTCAGCCACTTAGCGAAGCCCTAAACTACTTAGTTGGATCCTGTCTCAAAATAAAAAATAAAAAAGTCTGGGAATGTGGCTCAGTGGTAAAGTACCCCATGGGTTGAATTCCCAGTACCAAAAAATAGAATAAAAAAGAGTTTATATTCATCAGATGGGTGCTCCTAGTATCTGCACTTTTACAAATGGATAGATTGAGATGCAGAGAAGTTATGTAACTTACTGAAAGCTTCTGGATGACTAGTGGAGCCTGGATTGAACCAGGCAGCCTGACTCCAGAAACCATGTCCTAATCCTACATCATGCTGACATACAACTAAATGTAATGCAGTACATCTCAGACTGTTCTTTGCTATCTACACAGTATATATTACTGGGAAAGTCACCTTTATTTGTCTCACAACGCTGCCCCAACAAAGTACCCCAAACTGAGTGGTTTTAAACAACAGAAATTTATTCTGTTGTTCTGGAGAGTAGAAGTCTGAAATCAAGAATGACCCAAACTTCTGGGCCCTCCAAGGCAGAATCTGTTCTATGCCTCACCTAATATCTGCTGTTAGGGCTGAGACTATAGCTTAGTTGGTAGAATGTTTTCCTAGCACACCCAAGGCCCTGGGTTCAAACCCCAGTGCCACCAAAAAAAAAAAAAAAAAAAAAATCAACCTAATATCTGCTGGTTGCCAGCAATCACTGGTGTTACTTGGCTTGTAGATGTATTTTTTGAACCTCTACATCCATCTTTACATGGTCTTCTTTTTGCATGTTTCTTCTCTTCTGAGGACACCAATCCTACCTAGTATGACCTTGTCTTATGGGTGTTGGGCATGGAACCCTGGGCCTCGCACAGTATAACTGGTGAATGCTGTACTAAGACAAATTCCGGACCCCTCATCTTAACTAATTGCAACTAATTGATCCTGTTTCCAAATAAGGAAACATTCTGGGGCTCCAGGAAGGAATGATATCTTTTTAATTTTTTATTTTTTTAATTTTTTAGGTGTAGATGGACACAACACAATGCCTTTGTTTTTATGTGGTGCTGAGGATTGAACCCGGGTCCCGTTTGCGCTAGGCGAGAACTCTACCGCTGAGCCACAATCCCAGCCCCAGGAATGATATCTTGGGGACAGTATTCAACCCAGTAGAATAGTGGCATCTGCCTTGTATGCAAAATACAATTGCCCTTCCCAATATGCCCTAAAGTTAGCCCTTTCTAGCATTGACTCTAAATCCAAAATATCATCTAAATATAAACTAGAAAGTCCCAAGGCTCATCATCTTGATCAGGTATAGAATCTGGTTATGACTATTCTGGGGCAAAATTCCTCTTTGATCACAGACTTAATAAAACACCCAACCACCCAAGTCTGGTTCCTGAAACCATGTGGAGGGGACAAGGGCAGAGACCTGTCCTAACTCCAGACTGTATGATAGGGCCTGGCAACCTGTTCATGCTAGTTAAGACAAGGAAGTTCTGTTATGTCATAGTAAAAGCTAATTGTCTCTCCTTGTACCTAGGTCTTTCCCTTCTGCTTTAAGCTTCTGTTGATGTACAGCGAGGAATGACCTCTGACAGGATCAGCTACCTAATTTGTAGGGCTCAGTGGGAAATGACAATGCAAACCCCCTATTAAAAATTATTAAGAATTTCTAAATGGCACCTACAGAGCATTAAACCAAGTTCAGAATCATATGTGCTTGCCTAGGTTGCATGCATCAGAAGCCACGTAACTTCTTAGCTCTTCCCATGCCTCTCCCCTGACATCTCAGGGATCATTTGGGCTGATAAAACAGCACTTTCTCAGACATCAGGGGCTTTGAGGAGCCACACTACCCATCTTTGGTTCTGGCTTAGATTTACATTCACTGTCTGCATCAGCCTCTGGGTAGAGAGGAATCATTGCCGCTTGTGCTTTTTACATACAAACTTTATTTAAAGAGTACAATAGCTCATCTCAATTGTACTAAGATGTATGGCAAGGCAAAATTAAACTACTTTTAAAAAAATTGTGGGGAGGGAGTGAGTGAATTGAGCCATAGAGAGGTTGGCTCCCTCACGCAAGGTCACTTACACTTGCTTATCTAGGCTACAGTGGAGGCACTATGGGACTCTGTGCCCTTGGCTTTCACGTCTAGGCTCTTTTCACTAAACCAACATGCCTACTTGTGCTTTTCCTTAGAGTGATATTGTTAGACTTCTTCTCTTTCATGTAATCTCTGCCACAGCATCTCTAGGGGGTATTCACATCTCTACCCTCCAGAGACAGCAGGTGTGGTTGCCACCCCTTACCTCATGAGGCCGGATCACCAATAGCCCAGGCTAGGTTACAACACAAAACCCTCATGGACCCCAACCACTTGACCCCCTTTCTCCTCTCCCTGCCTTTGCCATCTTAGTCACAGCATGAGGAGGGGAGCTGAAAGGTGCAGGTTGATGACGATTAATTCTGTTGTTGTTTCTCTTGTTGCCTGCACTTTGGTAGAAATGTGTTTTAACCAAATTATTGCAAAGCAGTGAGTGTTGCTCTGGTTTAGATATTTGCAGCCAATTATGTTTAATGTGAAAGAGAACAGCCAGACTATAATCCGCCAACGGCTCTGGCCTGCGAAGCTCCACTGAGTTGGGACATGCTTCTGGATCCAGCTGCAGGGGAGCCCCCACTTTCACCACCAGGGCAGCATCTGGACTCCCCCAGCCACGTTGTTCCCTGCCACCTTCTGCTCCATCCCTGGCCTTTTCTACCTTTTTTGGTAGAAAACACATTTCTACCAAAGTGCAGGAGGAGAGGCTTTTGCAGACTTCTTTGTGATTCTTTTGCAGAGCAGGAGTTGGAGATGAGGGAGAAGAGCCCTGCACTCTGGTCAGAGGTCCAATCTGATCAACAGTTGTAGCTATGCTGTGGTGGAAAAGAGCTGGGCATCAGAAGATGTGGGGACACATCCCAGTGGTGCCACTTAAATCACTTAAGAGGATCGAGCTTTAATTTTGAAAATTTATAAAATGGAGGGTATTACCTACTAACGACTTGGCAGTAAGGATTAAATAAATTATATCATACGAATAAAAGCACAGAAAACCTTCTATTGTTTGGCAAATGCAAAAAATAAAGAGATTCTAGGCATTATTTCTGTCCAAGTCCAATAGCAAAGGGCCAAGGATGTTCATTTGTTCAACAAACATTTATTGAACACCCATTTTTAAGACAAGTCTTATTTTGTTTTTTGGGGGGATTTTCACCAGCCAGAGATGGGATGAGATGAGAGATCACAGTGGAGTGAGGGAGGCAACCTTGCCATTCTTTGGTTTCTCTTTCAGAAAAGATTAGAATAGAATATATGTTTCTTAAAGACATCACAATCCCAGTACAGAATGGCAACAACAGTAGTGATTTTGTGAGATTCAAATTCCAAACTACAAAATCCACTTGGCTTCCACAACACAGGCGGAGCTGAGTAGCTTCAGCTGGTCCCCGCTCCAGGGGGCCCCACTTTCCACTTCTTCCCCTTTCTTTGTGCTCCTGGAGACTAAGCTGAGGCCTGCAGAGATGGGATCCCTTGTCATGTTGGGCCAATGGGAGGTAGGGCAGGGGCAGCGACAGGAGATTGGAGGGAGGGAGGGGAGGAGAGGGAGGGGGTACTTACCTCTTCATTTGCTTCTGGTGAAATCATTGCTAGATTGCTGTGTTCCTAGGAGAAAGCTACAGTTCCTGCTCTGCATAGCTTTCTCTTTCCTCAGGTTTGGCCACCATCCCTAGCACTTGGGCCCTTCAGGCATAAGGGTTGTATCAGCTCAGTCCCCAGAAATCCCTACATGGACCTCCTCTTTGTGGTTTCTCTTTTCTTTTTCCCCCAGTCCCCCCTACCTTTTTAAAAAATATTTCTTTAGTTGTTGATGGACCTTTATTACTTATTTATTTATATGCGGTGCTGAGAATTGAACCCAGTGCCTCACACAAGCTAGGCAAGTGCTCTATCAGTGAGCCACCACTCAAGCCCTTCTCCAGTCCCTTTTTAATATATATATTATAGGTGAACATAATACCTTTATTTTATTTTTATGTGGTGCTGAGGATTGAACCCAGTGCCTCACATGTGAGAGGCAAGTGCTCTACCACTGAGCCACAGCCCCAGTCCCTCCCCAGTCCCTTTTATTCCTTATTTTGAGACAGGGTCTCACCAAGTTGCTGGGGCTGGCCTCAAACTTGTGATCCTCCTGTCTCTGCTTCCTGAGTCACTGGGATCACAAACCTTGTAGTTTCTTTATACCCTGCCCGCACCTTGCAAACAGTCTGTTGAGCCCTCTTGCAATTTCCCCATTTTATAGTTCTCTTTGTTCTTGCCAAGATATTTATAGATCCTCAGGTGTTAAGAGGCTCACATTCCATGTAAGAAGAGAGGCTGAAAATAATACCCAATATTGTATAAGTGGCTTAAGAGAAGGAGGGTTTTCATTTTAAGACAGTTTCTTACCAGATATGTGAATTTGGAAAAATAATTCGACCTCTTTGAACCTTACTTTCCTAGTTTGTAAAATGGAGATGAAAATATCTAGCCCTTAAAGTTTTGAGGATTGACTATGATAAGCATATGAAACAGTCTAGTGTATGGCACACAGCAAGTGGGAAATAAATGCTAACTTCTTCTTCTTATAACTATCAATAATATTAATATTGGCTATGTAAAAGTTTAAAGGATTTTTCTCCTTCATTTCTAAACCACAAAATAACCTCAAACATACTTCTAAGATAAACTACACAGACTTCACATGGCATATGAAGGCTTTGCATGTTGGGACTTACGTGAGTATTCCTGGCTATGGATTTGGTCAAATGTTAGTCCATGGGCTTAGATTCAACAAACTCCTTGTTCCTGGCCAGGTGGTGATTCGCAGATGCCCATTGGCCTATGTTGTGAATTTGCTGATTCCCAGCATCTTCCTAATGCTTGTGGATCTGGGGAGCTTCTACCTGCCACCCAACTGCCGGGCGAGGATTGTGTTCAAGACCAGTGTGCTGGTGGGCTATACAGTCTTCAGAGTCAACATGTCTAACGAGGTACCTAGGAGCTCAGGGAGCGCCTCTTTGATTGGTAAGCATCCTCAGGGTCACCTGATGCCAGTGTTATTTTATTCCTGCCAAAGATCTGGTGACGCATTTCAAACTGGAGGAGGGAAAAACCTTAGAGACTACAACTAACTTCTCTGCTCTGGTGCCTTCTCCCAGGGGTCTTCTTCACAGTCTGCATGGCCTTCTTGGTTCTCAGCTTATCAAAGTCTATTCTGTTGGTCAGATTCCTCCATGATGAGTGGAGAAGTGGCCAGGAACTACCCCTCTTGTGCCTTCAAGGCGATGCTGGCACCGATGGGTCTAGAATGGACCCTAGGACCCAGGATGCTGGAGTAACAGGTTTGTGAGAAGTCTAGAGATCCCTTTCCCATCTTTCTGGGTCCCCCTCAGCACCAGTGCCCATCAGCAAAGCACCAGGCCTTTTGTTGCACTTTGTGGAGAATCTGAAGCACCTGCTTCATAGTCCCTGCACCACATTTATATTACCTCTCAGGGGACTGAAGTCCACCTTCTGCTGGGGGAAGTTGCTTTAGCTTGTTTAATTTTTCAATTACCCACAGTGACTCATCCACCCTAGAATAGTAAAGCTCTAGCATGTGAGCTACTTGGATTTACTTCCCCCAACCTAAAAGAAAAAGAAAAAGGAAAGTAAAAGAATCATCCCAGCCCCTAAAGTTCCAATTGAGTTGATCTGGTCACTACACATACCCTACTTTCACGATATAGCTCTGCCATGGTCTCTGTCCTGCAGCACAGCCATGCCTCAACAAGCAAGTAGGGTGACAGTCCACAACCCCACCCAACTCTCTTCCTAGTTTTGCCCACAACTTTCCTTGAAGGATGAAGCTGTCAGATTCAAAAGAAAGTTCCAGTGGGCCTTGGTAGCCCTTGGCTCACCTCAAGTATTTTCCTCTATCATGCAGAATCCCCAGTCTGTCAAGAACACCAGATCCAGTCAGAAACCCTGAAGGAAGTCTGGTTCCAGATTCGATCCATCAACAACTACCTCCAAACTCAGGATCAGGTGGACCAACAGGAAGTTGAGTGGCTGGCGCTCCTGTACCGCTTTGACCAACTGCTCTTCCGAAGCTACCTTGTCATGCTGGGGCTCTATGCTGTCACCCTGTGCTCTCTCTGGGCACTGTGGAGTGGCTTGTGAAAATTGGAATCTCTGGTCTCAATCAATGCACTATCACACTTAAGGAAAGCTGTGAGGAGATCAAAAGGGGAGGAACAGTGGGTCTAAATGATTCCCACCCGCCATTGCCTCTTTTCATTGAGTCGAGGTACACACAGCCTATGGGTTACTGAAGGACCCAGCACCACTATATTTATGATGAAAATGTATAAACAGAACAAACAAGCCACCAAACAAGCCTTCATTCCCCAGTAACCACTGTTAGCCTTCTCAGAAAGAGATCTGAAAAGCACATACATGCATATATTTGTGTTTAAACAGTTTTTTTTTAAATGTAAGATCACTCCATCTCTCAGTTCTGACTTGGTTAGTTGTTTTCATTTATTCAACAAAACCTTTATTGAGTGTTGTTTAAGTCCTAGACATTATGTTAGGAACACCAGAGAATATGAAGTCAGTCACAGAGAACATTCTTGATTGGATTCCTATGGTCAACTCTGAACCAACCAGAACACAAAACTCTCACCATATTTGCATCTTTCTGAAGCTTATGTTTCCACTATTGCAGCTAAATCCCTTCCTCTGTCTTCTTGTGCCTTGGAGATCCCAAGTGCCAAGGTTTCCTAGCCCATCTAGCACAACATTTAGTGAGCACACACCATGTGTAAGGCATGAGCTGCGACATATGTCTAACCCATGCTCCCTGGAGTCAAGGAATTTATTTATTTAGTGGCACTGGGGGTAGAAACTAGGGGTGCTCTACCACCGAGCTACATCCCCAGCCCATCTTTTTTCTTTATTTTGAGACGGAGTCTCACTAAGTTGCTCAGGTTGACCTTGAACTTGTGATCCTCCTGCCTTAGATTCCCAAATTGCTGGTATTCCTGGCATGTGCCATCATACCTGGTAATTCAAGGGATTTATACTCTATAGTCCTTCTATTAGTCAGTTAGGGCTGCCTGAATAAAGTATTACAGAGTGGGCAGCAGCTTGAAAGCACAAAGATTTATTTTCTCACCATTCTGGAGGCTGGAAGGTTTCTTCTGCAACCTCTTCTGTAGACGGTCACTTTTTCCTGTGTCTACATGTGGTCCTTCCTCTGTGCATGTATATGTCTGTGTTCAAATTTTATCTTTTTTTTTCCTGTGCTGGGATTGAACCAGAGCCTGTGCACACTAGGCACATGCTCTACCACTGAGCTACTTCCTCAGCCCACTTTTTATTTTCTGTTTTCAGACAGGGTCTTGCTAAGTTGCCCAGGCTGGCTTCAAACTTGTGATCTTCTTGCTTCAGCCTCCTGAGTAGCTGGGATAAGAGTATGACACAACACCCTGCTAAATTTCCTCTTCTTTGTAAGGACACCAGTCATATCGGAGCAGGGCCCATTCGGTTGCCTCCATGTCACTTTTTTTTTTTTTTTGATACCAGGAATTGAACCCAGTGGTGCTTAACCACTGAGCCACATATCCTGCCCTTTTAAATATTTTATGTAGAGACAGGTCTTACAGAGTTGCTTTAGGATCTCACTAAGTTGCTGAGGCTGACTTTGAACTATGATCCTCCTGCCTCAGGCTCCCAAGCTGCTGGGATTACAGGTGTGTGTCACCATGCCCAGCATCTCCATGGAATCTTATTACTTCTTTCAAGGCCTCATCTCCATATACAACCATATTCTGAGGTACTAGGGGTTAGGACTTCTACATATGACCTTCAGAGGGACACAAATCAGCCTATAACACACACGTGATTATGGAGACTTGGCAAGTACAAAATCTTCAGGGTAGGCCAACAGAAGAGTTCCCTGGAAATTCAGAGGGGAGCTCTAGTTGGAGTCCAGAGGTCTACTCTCTGGAGTATCTCTTCTTTAGGACAGGTCAGTCTTTTTTTTTCTCAATGCTTTCAACTGATTGAATGATGTCTATCCACATTTTGGAGGGTGATCCAATTCACTCAACGTCTACTGATTTAAATATCTTATCTTGGGGGCTGAGGTTGTGGCTTAGCAGTAGAGGCGCTGGGTTCAATCCTCATCATCACATAAAAATAAAACAAATAAAATAAAGGTATTGTGCCCAACTATAACTAAAATTATTTTAATAAATTAAATATCTTGTCTTAAAAATACCTTCACAAGGGACTGGGGTTGTGGCTCAGTGGTAGGGTGCTTGCCTAGCATGTGTGAGGCACTGGGTTTGATTCTCAGCATCACATTAAATAAATGAATAAAATAAAGGTCCATCAACATCTAAAAAAATACCTTCACAGAAACAGTTAAGATAATATTTGACCTAATACTAGGTATAATGGCCTAGACAAGTTGACACATAAAGTTAACTGTCACAGCCCTGATAGCTCCTTAGTTTTCCATCTATGCCACTTTCTAGAACAGAAGAGTCCTGTGCTAACCTGGCACTTGGGTAACTAACCAACTTCTGGGTCAGACTCTCCAATAGCCAAACCTGTAGTAATAATCCTACCTATGAAGTTCCTGTGGCCTCAAACCTGAGTTTGAATAAGATTAAAATTCCACAAAACATCCTCCTTCTTGTATTTGACTTTCTTAGCTTCTCATCATTTCTCCTCACAGAGTGTTCAGTCCAGCCAAGCCCACCTGACTACTGTGCTCCTCAGGATAGGGTTTCTCATCTAAGCTTCTCCTTCTTTTTGACCAGTTTTTCTTCTACTTTATCCATCTGTCTCTCAACTCTGTCTCAGAGCTCTGCTCAGAATGGTCTTATTCCCCCACATTCCCACCTCCGTGACTCTGTCCCCTCATCTCTGTCTTTGGTGTTATAGTATCTTATATCCTTCTCCCTTTAAATGTTTTGTGGCCTCTATTATACATGTGCATGTGTGTTTGTGTGTTTGTGTGTGTGTGTGTGTGTGTGTGTGTGTGTGTGAGAGAGAGAGAGAGAGAGAGAGAGAGAGAGAGAGATTTGTCAAACGTGCCACATACTCCTAGAATAGTTGCCCTGTTTTCTCTTTCTGTTTATCCCCCATCTATGTCCACACCATAGAGGGTTTTGCATACGAGTGAGCCTACCATTTTGCATGGTGAGTGTCCTATAATGTAATTCACTCCAGCTCACTGCTGACAGTGGACATGTATCTGGTGTGTTTTCCTAAGTCTGAACGACAAAATCTCCCAAGATCAGACACCCAGTCCCTGGATTTCCCTCTAACCCTCATCTAGGGTAGCCTTCAGGAGGCTTGTGGATAGAAAGACACAGAGGACAGCAAGACAGTCATCAGTCCTAATGCTGCCAGCAGAGGACACAAAAGTCTAAAGCTGTTTGCTAAAAACTTTTCCTGGTACTAAAATTGCCTTTAAAAAAATCTGCCCCCCTCCATCCCCCCAAAGAAAAAGAATTTAAATTCAAACAGCCTTTACCTGCATCCTCCCTCTCTCATTACCTCCCAGTTAGTGCTCAACGCCAATTGCCCATGAAATTCCACTGCTGCTGTTAATGAAATGAGGAACATAAGAAGTTTGTGAACAGGAAGGAAGTGTCCATGCAAAGCTCCACCTGTTTGCTGCTTCACTCCATACTTAGTACCACTGGCCTTTGCTGCCTCCATGTACTCTACAGCTTCTATACTGGTTCCAGTTCTCTCCACTTCCTCCCCCAGTTATAGGGGAAGACATGAGGAAAAGCCCTGCAGTGAACACGTGCTGCGAGGCCTCCCTCCTTCCTAATTGCACGTTGGAGAAAGTACCAGGTTCAGTCCAGAGACCTGCTTTAGTCTTAGTTCCAACACTGTCTACCCAAGGGACCTTGAACTTAACTTCTCAGACTTCTATTTCATTTATTTAAATATTTAAATAAATATTTACTCTTACCTATTTCACAGTTATGAGATCAAAATGAAGAAATGTATTCAATAGCATTTTGAAAAGTAACTATAGATCAAAAAATAAACACAAGACCTGCCTGCTATTAACAGATGGATTCCAGGCCGAGTCTTTGGTGTGGGATCTGACTTCCAGCTGCCTCTATCAGAATCCCCTTATGGGTTCTGGTTCTTCCCTTTATCATAAGGATCTGAAAGTTAAGGGCTGATGTCATCAAGGGCCTTCTTACAGAGGGACTTGAGTGAGGGTCCCAAAGGGATTTCTAATTCCACTTCCCACACGTCTCAACTTTGGTCCATGTCCAGCTGCCACTGCCCAGGTTCTTTATGTCACCCACGAAGAAGCTATCATTCAGCAACAAAGCCTGCTCACTAAATGGACTCCCTGCGATCTAGTACCTAGTGGCTCTAATCCTAACCACAGCCAGGAACTCACTCTAAGCCCCAAGGTCATTCTGCTGCCTAAAACAATGACATTATTGATGTGTAACACTTCAGACCTCCTCTTGGAATAGTGCCTTCAGTAGGGGAAGAACATGAAGAACTAGTGGCCCTTACTTAGAGCTGCTTTAGTGGAAAGAAACCTAGGAACAGAGCAAAAATGGGATTCTCCCAGATGTGAATGCTCCTACCATCTGCTGTCTCCCAGAATCTCAGGTAGTTTAAATATTCACAAAGAAATTACAGCTCCTGTTCTGGTATCTAGAATACAGAGATGGTTAAGCAGTCCCATAACCAGGCAGCCTTCAAGTTGTAACATATCTCAAGATAACTTCTGGATGCTGCCATGATGACCCCAAGGACCTTCATAGGCTTTTTTTTTTTATCAAAAATAACCAGGTGATGATTTTTCCCTTCTAAGATTTGTCCCAGAGAAGCAGGAGACATCATGGTGAAGGAAGCTGAGCTTCTCAACTCTTAAATCTCCAAGCAAGTCTCTTGTGGTCTGGCTTTGAGCTTGGGTGGGTCAGAACCAGAAAGCAAAGAACCATGAGGGCAGCCAACAGCGAGGTGCCGAGGGAATTAGCCTTGCTCTCAGCCCAACCTCAAGGCTTTCCCAGATCCTCTCATTTCTCAGGGATCCAATCACGTCTATATACAGGCAAGGTCAGCAAACAGTTAGAATTCATATTTTACCCTATTCTGTGGCTCAGAGAGGCTCCTAGAAAACTTCAGAAATTGGTTTTAAGGCAGAGAGTTCCTCCACCAATCCCTGGTGGTGACTGGTTAGCACAGGGCAGAGACCCTAGGTCGCCGTTTTCCTCTGCGAATACTGGTCCTCCCTCCCTGAAACCCCAATCTGTGCCTTTGGGGCTCCACCTCTGTCACCACCCTGTCCAGCTTGGTCTACCCTGTCCTGTTTCCCAGCTCAGACTCCATCTTAGGAGCTGGAACTGCTCAGTCCTGAGTTATTTACCTGCCGAGACAGTAAGAGCTAAACAATTAGCTGAGCAACAGCACGGGGGGCTTTTATGCTCAGCCACGCCCCCCACCACACTCTGGTGTCTGTAATTGAAATGACCCACACCAGTGATTAGATTAGGGGGCTGAAGAAGCCCAGCATGTCACCCCAGCCCCTTCCCTCGTCCTGTCGGGGAGGTGATGTAGTTAAGTTTGTGCTTCATTTGGCAGAGGCCATAAAGCAGGAATTGCAGGCAGGTTTTCTGCAGGGAGCTAGAAGCCACTGCTGGGCGGTGGGCAGGCTTTGTGGCAGGTGACAGACTCCAGGTTTGAGAAGGAGGAAGCTCCTTGTTCTTCTCCAGCCACTATAGTGCTGGGCTCCAAAGATCTGGGCCCACATGAGCCTAGCAGGATTATTAGCCCTCCTGGGTGTCACTGGGTACCAGGCTGCAAGTGGGTAGGCAGCCCTTGATCAGACCCTGCTCCTGGTCACCTGCTTGTACTCTTTGGAGAGCTCCAGGCTGAAATCCAGGGAATCCAGGTGCTGTTGGCAGTTCTTTTCTCCCCCCCTCCCCTCCAACCTTAGCTTCCCAGCGCTCTATACAGTTCCAGCCCTTCTCTTCCCCAGGCCCATCATCCCGCAGCCTCCTCCCCACATCTGGCTCTTGGAGCATCAACACTGAATTTGGTCACATTGTACAACAGCTAAAGTCTGTCTAAGTATCCTCTTGCTCATTTCTTTTCCCCACCCCAACTACCCTAGGCATCTCTGTCACTACACTGCTCAAAGGACCCTCACTGCTGTGCTCTTGCTTCCCAAAGCTGCCTTCCTGAGCACTGTGCACTAAACTGATCAACTCCTTCCTCCTGTGCCAAGCAGAAATTCATGGCAAACTGTATCTGGGTATGTGTATCCGTAAAGGGGCTCAGTGGTGTGCCAAGATAAAACTTCGGATTTCATGGACAGGGAGGGGGCATCTTTGGTTCTGTTCCTGCTTTTGGAGCATACTAATAGAAAGTTTGAGGTATAGTAAGGCTAACAGATCATGAGATGATTGACAGGAAAGGCAGTTTATGACTCACAGTTCTCAAGCATGGGGGCACAAGCCACACCACATCATGGTGAGGAGGTGCAGCATGCACACCAGGAAATGCTGAGATTGACCCAGGGGCTGGATGCAGAGGGAGGCACTCTTTGCAAGAGGTATGATTGGTTTCTGCAAGAAGGAATGGGGAAGCCAGGCAAACAGGTTTAGGATTGGCTGCTTTGCATAATTTCAGTGGGTCCTGGGATATAGGGGCTCCCTGAGTTGTGTGGTACCTGACCCTATGTGAATGAGCAAGCAGGTAATAGCCTGGAGTATGAGACTCCAATAAAGGAGGTTGTTGGGAGTAGGGTATGGGCTCCATTTCAGTTGGTTTGTATTTGAAAAGTATGCTTGCATAGGTGAGTTGTTCACTCTTTTTAGGAATGGACTAGTCCTAGGAGGGGCAGTCTCTGCAGGGTCAGTGGGACCCCAAATATCAAAGTATCAGAAAACAGAAAATAACCAGGTATGGTGTGCCTACCTGCAATCCCAGCAACTCAGGGGGCTGAGGCAAGAGGATCACAAATTCAAAGCCAGCCATAGTAACTTTCAAGACCCTGTCTCAAGTTAAAATAAGTAAGTAAATAAATAAAAAGAACTAGAGAGGGCTTGGGATGTAACTCAGTGGTAGAGCACTTGCCTAGCAGATTTGAAGCCCTAGGCTCAATCCCCAGCACACACACACACACACACACACACACAAGAATGAAGTGGAGGATAAAGCATCCCTATGTTCCATCCCAGTATTCCCCCAAACAAACAAACAAAAATCAAGAACACAGAAATTAAAAGACATGGTTAATTCAGCTGCCTCAGAGAATCCCAGATACCCAATCACTTGCTTCTTATTTTCTGAGTACTACGGTGGAAATCAACCACATAACTCAAAGGACTGACTTTAAAAGTGAGAATGCTGGAGTTGGGGCAAGCATGCAGGCAAAGGGGAGGAAGGCAATACCCAGGCAAGAGTCCTCCGTACAGCTATTCACTCAGCTGCTCAGCTTCGTGGTAACTTCTACTGAGTAACCTGCTTGGCATCTGGGACCTGGCCTAGACCGGAAGAGCACCTGAATAGGACACAGCTTTCAGCCTCAAGGAGCTTTTAATCCAGCAGAAGTGGTGTCACAGAAAGAACACAGGGATGGGGTCAGAATCATGCATTTGGATTCCACTACAGCATGGTTACTTAGAGCTG